GCTACCGGAGGGAAGTCACCGAATTGGACCGCTATCATATTGGTGGATACGGTCTTTTGCTCGGGCTTTAAAGTGAGCACGTTAGCATTCACCAAATTTTGCAGGATGTCTTTGAAGATGTAGCACTTTCTGGTAGGATGTCCTAGGAACCTGTGATAGCGGTAATAATTAGGGTCATCCACCTTCCCTGCTTCATCCGGTTTCCTGATTTCGGGAAACTGTAGCTTGTTGTTCTTCCGAAGTAACTGGAACAAGGTGTCTACATGCTCCTCTTTAAATAAATATTGTTTGGGCGCTCTTTGCTGATTTGGTGCATTGCCTTGCTTAGCAGGTGGTGGTGCTCGCGTGTTGGCGTCAGCCGCTAAAATTTCTTTTCCCTTAGACCGTTGGGCATTGTGCTAGGTTGTGTAACTTCTTCGGCTTTAACTCGAGTAATAATCTCTTTGGCTTATTCTCCTTGTGACACCAGTTGTCTCCAGGAGCGACACTCCACTACCCCCATCTGAGCAAGGAGCTGAGTCTGCAAGTTATGCCTGTAAGTTTCAACCAATGTTGATTGGGTCATACCTGAAGAGCATCGCAATGCCATGCTGCGGAATCTCTCCATATAGGTCTTGATAGATTCTCCCTTCCTCTGATTGGTGGCAAGAAGAGTCGGGACCGAAACTTCCGTATTGTCCTCGAAGAACCTAGCTAAGAAAAGCCTTTCCAAATCTACCCATTTCTGAATAGATCCAGCAGGCAGTTTTATAAACCATTCAAAGGCAACTCCTTTAAGAGTGCCGATGAACAAGCGTATCAGGATGGCGTCGTTTGCTACCGCGTCTCCAGTCTGTGACTTGAAGTAGTAGATGTACTGATTTAGTGATCCTGTGTCATCGAACGGTTGCAAGGTAGGGGCCTTGAACTTCGGTGGGTAAGGAGCTGTGTCCCACTCAGCAGGATAAGGCCGCACCACTCCTTCTTCGCGGAGCTCGCTTCTGTTGGCAATTGCGTTGAGGCGAGCTTCTAGTTCATCCATTTTAGAGGACTGAGGGTGCAGTTCTCTTTCCATCTCCTTCTCGTTTTCAGAAGAGGATTCTATGTTTTGAGCTTCGCGATCCGAATGCTCGGGCGCTTTCTGCTTTCCCTTGGAGGTTGTCCTCCGGGAAGATTCAGGTTTTTGGCATTTTTCAGCCAGGAGATGGGCTAACATATCCTTTATTTGGAGAAGTGTCTCCTGTTGTGCCTGGAGCATGACGTGATGTTCATCTACTCTCTTAGCTAGGTCTTCGGGGTTTCCTGTCATGTAAGCAGAAAACTCTTGTGCTCCGACAGAGCTTGAAGATTGAGATTCGGCTATCGCCGAATGTTCATCACCCGATGTAATCCCCTTGGCTAAGTTTTGATAGTCAACCGAGCAGATAGCTCCTATCCGAGTGCGAGTGTGTCGTTATACTCCCTCGCACTCGTCACAAATTTTTCGAACCGTCGGAGAATGACTTCTTTACGACTCATCGGAATCGAGATGCGAGGCTTTTCCTCTGCCGATCACGTTGATAGTGACCTCAGGATATTCGATTTCAGAGGCCTTCTTTTTATTATGACGTCGTCGCTTGGTAGGTCTGGCGACACCAGCCAGTCTGTCGAACACAGATTTGCGAGGCTCAGGTGTACAGCAGTGACATTCTGAAAGGACTACTGATATAAGCCGCTCGCACTGGCCTGAATGAAATGCTTGATGTGTTGGTCTGCCTCTTGAAAGTAATTCACGCAAATCAGAGACTTGGGGAGAATCTTGTGAGGTTGGAGACGGAACCCCTTGCCCCTGAGTGGATAGAACTGATTCTTGTTAGGCATGGATTTTGAATCCATGCCGACTCTTTTGAACTCGGCGGACCACGTCGTATTCTTGAGACGAAACGCGAGGGTCACATTTTGGTTTATAAACATTAGGCCGAAGCCTGTGTTTAGCCGGTGGAACAGACCCCTGTGGGTCATGTTTTGATTGAACGTACACTTGTGGTGTGCATTTGAATGATGAAACAGACCCCTAAGGGTCGTGTTTTGATTGAACGCACACTTGTGGTGTGCGTTTGGTTGATGAAACAGACCCCTGAGGGTCGTGTTTTGATTGAACGCACACTTATGGTGTGTGTTTGGTTGATGAAACAGACCCCTGAGGGTCGGGTTTTGATTGAACGCACACTTGTGGTGTGCGTTTAGTTGGTGGAACGTGCCTTTGGGGGTCACGTTTTGCTTTTGAGACGTACTCCTGAGGTGTGCGTCCGGATCAAATAATGCAGCCCTGAGGGCCGTGTTTAAGTTGGATTACACGAGGCTCATAATCGGGCTCGTTACCACGAAGTGTGCGTTCTGGAGCAGAAACGCAGGGTTCGGGCAGAGGCTCAGAAACGCAGTCTTCGCGTTGGGCGAGAGATTGGCTGTTCCGCAAGTGGGCTCGCCGTATGGATCTTCTTCTTCGTCGAGCGGCATTTTTCTTGGCTTGCTTCAACGCCTTGGCTGCAATGTCGTCGGCGTTGATTGGATTTTCCTCCGTCATAGGTCTCTTATGACCGATGACACACTGTTTTGTTGTGGGTGTGGAGTCTTCAACTCGTTGAACGAGTTTGGAATCTTGGCCAAAGGAGAGGACTTTCCTTGGTATTTTAGCAATAGCTAAGACCTCTTTGGAGATCTTGCAGGTATCGCGCCTAGCCTTAGGGCTAAGCGATCCAGAGGAGAGGGCCTCCTCGTACTTGGCTTGGTCGAACTCTATAATGAGAGTTTCGACGGTCGTTCCAGTGAGGTGGACGTCGGATTGCGCCACCACTTCTTCGTCAGAGAAGTTAGTCCCCACCGGAGTCGCCATCTTTTGTTTGTGGAAAATTTTATAGTAAAAGAAATGAAGGAAAATTGATTTGTATTTCTTTAATCTTAGTTACAATTTGGATTCCGATTACAAAAGAGAGGAGAATGAATTTGATTCTCCCCTTTGTTTAAAACTGGGTTCTTCAAGGTAGCGATGGAGTGCCTCCTTCGAATGCCTGCGTCGAATTTGCTCTCCGTTGACGATCCGACCGTCTTGTCTCACGAGAACATTTAACTTGTGAGACAAGTTTGATTTAGAACTCTTAACGAGTTTAAGAACCTAGAATGAGTTGAAAACTCTGAAAAGAGTTGTTGAAAACCGAGTAATCGGTTAGTAGCCAAGTGGATTTGTTGTTGATGAAGAATTCTCCAAGATTTGATTTACTAAATGCTGAGCAGTTCCTTGGTCTTCAGCAATCTCCCCTCTCCGCCCAAGAATCTAACCTTATGCGGTTTTCCTGATCTCCAAATCTCCAACCTCTTACTCAGTTGAGTAATGTGGTTATTATAGGGGAATAAGGGGTGTAACCAACCCCTAAATACGCTCCTAAGTGGGCAAAAATCCCTCAAAACATGGGATAAACGGTTTTGAGGCCGTTCAGCTTGAGTTTGCGCTCCTAAGTGGGCAAAAATCCCTCAAAACATGGGATAAACGGTTTTGAGGCCGTTCAGCTTGAGTTTGAACAAGTCAAACGCCTCTCAAAACATGGGATAAACGGTTTTGAGGCCGTTCAGCTTGAGTTTGAACAAGTCAAACGCCTAAATTGACGTTCTGGACCTTAACTCTGCGTCTTAGACTTGAGACGCAGAGTTAGGTGCTTGCTGGGAATTGAAAACGCAAGGGCTATTTGCATTTTTGGGTCTTAACTCTGCGCCTCAGACTTGGGACACAGAGTTGGGTATCTGCGGATGATTGAAACGCACATGCTGGTTACGTTCTGGGTCTTAACTCTGCGCCGCAGAGTTGGGTGTCTGCTGAAGAACGCACAGGCTACGTGCGTTTTGAGTTGAGAAGCGCAGAGGTGGACTCTGCGTTTGGGAGAGGTTGTTGACTTGTAACCTCGTCTATTACAGCATCGCGAAGACTAATGCTCATTGATCTTTGCTTTAGCTGTTATGGGTTGTGAAAGTCGTCAGATTATAACTCTCACAGTTGGTTATGAAGGCTACTGAATAGAGTTTTCATCAGTTATCGGAAGTGTCGTTGAATTGTAACTCTTCTCGATCTATGTGAAAAGTCCTCCGTATGCAGCTTTCATTTGTTGACATGAAAGTCATCTGATTGTAACTTTCGTTGTTGAAGTTTGATAGGGATCAACTATCTATTGTGATTCTTAGACAGCCTACAAACACGAGGATGGCGAGATCTCCAACTGGCAACTCCACAATGCTATCTCCACCAAAGCCTAGATCTCCAAGATCCAAGATTCCAACAACGAATTTTTCTCCACCCAAAACAAACTCTAGGTCTGAAACCTTAAATCTCTGATACCAATTATTGTGCGCTAGCGGAAGTGTGCTAGTGAACCAAACACCCACACGAGTCAGCGAACAAGAGAGAGGAAAACAACCAACGAGTGCAATTCATAAAAGAACGACACAAACCAATCACAAACACAGAGATTTACGTGGTTTGGCAAATTGCCTACGTCCACGGGGAGAGGATAGGGAGATTTCACTATATGAAGGAGAAATACAATGGGTTACAGCTCTCTCAAACACTCAAAATAACCCTCACCAACAATCTCTCACTCACTCACAATAATCTCCCTCTCAAAGTGCTCAAAAGACTCTATTTTCTCTCTCTTCAAATCTCTTTTAAAACGTTCTGTATATATATAAATCCTAAAACCAAAACAGCTAGGAATCGAACAATTCTAAAACCAAAACCAAAACAGACTAGGAATTCCAATAATTCTAAAACCAAAACCAAAATAAGTATCTTGTTTGGCCCAATAAACCTGCTATCCAACAGAGCGGTTGATTTTGCTAATTTTTTCCTAATTGAGTCGTTTTTGCTGATTAAATTCTCAAAATGGTTGGTTTTAAAAAAATTTCCTATTTTTATCTTCGAAAGATCCTACAGCAAGAAGATCGTACAAGCCGAAGTAATTAATAAGAATAATGCTAATTATACTTTTAACTGAAAATTCACAACGGCCTCGTATACTTGTATTTTATAGTACCAACAGGTACCAGAATGACAATACAGTTAGCATTACTCAATCAAACATCTCATAGGCGATTACATACCAAGTTGAGAAACAAGTTTTACACTCATAAGAGAAAGTGCCTTAGTGCTACTAATTCAAACTTCAATAACAAACAAAAGCCAAAGTCAAAAGTAAGCACATTTTGTAACCACATGAACAACTAAAATCTACAGGATTTAACAGAGCTCCTACTTCTTCTTCTTTTGAGCATGAAGATTGCGGAAGTAGTCCTTCGGATTGTCCTCAAATGAGTCCCTTCCCATGACTGCACCCTTTCCACCTGGTGCCTTCATCATCTTCCCCGCGCCGTGCCCGCGTTTCTTGCTCCTGCAGCAGTAGACACAGAGAAGAACCACTACAAGGGCAGTGAGCCCAACGCGAACCCATTCACCCACAATCTCTGATCTGGTTTCTGATGGTAATGCACTGCTGATTCTTTCTACCAACAACTCCCATCTGCTCTTCAAAATGTTGAAGTGTTGAACATTTTTTTCCCAGAGGAAGTTTTCGATCATCTCCAGTGATCTTTTCTCTGGCGGCACAACCAGGTCGAACTTTTCTACCAATAGTGCCCACATATTATCCAAGATGTGGAAGAGTTGATCAAACTTTCTCCCCTCAAAATCATCTACAAATGATCTTCTCTCTGGTGGTAGAATCTGGTTGAGTTGATCTACCAACAGAATCCAGATGTTCATAAAAACGTGAAGGAGTTGGTGCAGTTTTTCCCAGAGCAAGTCATCTATGCGCTCTTGTGGATCTCTAATTAACTTCACTAGCTCACTGACTTTATCTACTATTAGCTTCCACTTTCCTACCATTTCTCTTGAGTTTTTGTTTGATGAGGGAGGAACAAAGAAAACAGGATGAATACGGTAATCTAGTAGACCACAGAAGTCTTCATGTGATGAGTTAAAAAGTAAAAGAAAGTAGAGCAACGTGCTTTTTAGTTAGTGGGGGAATCCTATTCAGTTCTTTCTTTTCAGAAAAGAATCCTATTCAGTTCTTACTGTCAAACGTATTGCTTCGTACACCAAAATCTGAAGAAACCCAAATGAAAGTATGGCCAATGGTCCAGCATGAATTTATAATAGGGTGTTGCTACAGGGACCCCAAATAAGGGACCCTTGAGGGGACAGGTGAGGTGTCAGTCCCTAGGGGCTTGATGCACTGTTCATGAACAATGCATCAAGCCCCCAAGGGTTGAAAACCTCACCTGTCCCCTCAGGGGTCCCCTATTTTGGGGTCCCTGAGGAGTTTTCCTTTATGATATCATGTAGTCACTAGTACCCGCATTGGTAGAATGAACTCATTGACAATTGATATAGTCAATGTTTATTTATAAAAAAAATTCTTACTGCATCTATCTAAAACCCCTGTGAAATCTTTCTCTTTCTCAAATATTTCTTTTTTGACAAAGACGCTTTGTGTCATTTATAATGAGAAAAAAAATAGGATATTTTGTTTGGTTTGTCCTTTATTTCAGCCCGAAAGATGCAACAAAAGAAAGAATAAACATATTCGAACGACAGTAATACGACGAACGGGCTGTGGTATTGTCGAAATACTGTGGTCTGGGTGCTATCGCTTCCAAAGTATCAGCAAGCAATTGTCGGAGAGGAAAATTGTAAAATGTGAACATTTCGGGGACTAATATCGGAAAACAAAAACAAAAAAAATTCTGTCAAATATAAGTCCCCGGGAATCTGGGTTGAATACGAAAATATAGTGGGTATTCATTACGATGTAATGGAACGTGAAAGTTTTGCTTTCAATTGCTTAGGAATGAAGCGAAGCAACTATTAATTGGACGATCTACACGTATCAACGTTTACAATACAGTGAAGAGCGCATGAAATAAAAGCACCAACATTGTCCTTCCCAACTAGGGCAAATAGGTTTATTAATGGCGCCTCTAATGAATGAAGATAAATCACAATCTTTTTTATAAAAATAAAAAAATGTCGTTTTCTATTAAGTACACCAAAGTTTACATTACGTTTGACTTTGATACCTCAAAGTTTTTATTATGCCCATAAGATTACCTCAAACGTCCAAAAAATAAAATAAAATAAAATAAAAAACTAATAATATTTTGATACCTAAACTAGCATAATCGGTTACCAAAGTTAAATTTTTTAAAATTTTGGAGATGGTTTTGAGAAATAAAACCTCATGATATCAAAGTTAAAGATGATTTAAACTTCGCGGATACGTAAGTGCAAATAATTGAAATAAAATTATCTTTGGCCTGCACTAGAATCATGAGTACTCAATGATCATGAATATCACTGCTTTTTAATGTATTTAGGTCTATTGTATCACAGAAATGACTAAATGTTAATCATGCTCCAAGAGTTGACACACGTCCTAAGTTAACTATGCATCGTATGGACTCAACCTTATGCAGGACGAGTCAAGTAACGTCATTACTCGGTCCTTCCCAAGAAGGCCAAATCAAAAGGTGTCCTCACTCGGATCCCGTAATTAAGGTCGGCTCTGTGCCTCTTCATTTTGTAAAACCAAGTCGAGAAGCTCTCAATCCAAGATGGCCGAATCAAAATGTATCATTTTATGGCCTACTCGCAAAGCCGAGATGAGAGGCGGTCACTCTCAAACCCCATGCCAACAGCCGATCATCATCACATTAAATGCATGATTGAAGTCATCATTACTCTAACCCCGAAAGTCATACTGACTCGTCAAACCTCGTCAGCACCTTGCTTCCCCCCTATCACTCCAGCATTAATCACGAAGGTGACTCACACCACCCGCGGTCGACAATTGTAAAGTATCAGCTGAATAAGCTGACTGCTTGGACTTGACCGAAGTTACAAAATTTCCCTCCTGAATATGTTATAAATAGCTGCCTTGTCCACTGCATGAAGGTACGTGATTTCTAGCAATAGAACACACTGTAATTATACTTTCCCTCCTCCACTTGAGATCAATACTAAATTGACCGTCGGAGGAACCCCTAGAGAACTCAACTCCGACCCTCTTACGTATTGTTTGTGTGTAGGACCGAATGCTCTGCTGAAGAATCAACCATCAGAAGAAGATTGAGTAACCCTAAAGCTCTACGTAATCTACATTAAAATTTCGTATTTGATATCTGACATTAATAGTTTGGCGCTCACCGTGGAGCTTTTTTTCTTCTTCATACAAGATGGCTAATTGTGATTGTCCAAGCCAATCATTAGTTCCTTCCACTGAAGAAGCACGTACCGTGGGCTATGTCACTCAAATCGAATTGGAAGACTCCACCTGACGAATTTTTTAATCTCTTTACAACAGTTCGCCTCCTTCACAAATGAATTTCTCAGCTGGATGCCTCTCCAACAACCTTCTCCGTTGTTCGTCTCTCCTCCTCCTGCAGATCAGGCTAAGCAAGAAGCACGGGAGGATATACTGAACACACATCTCCTCCGCCTCACCACGGACTCGATTCGATGTTCATCCCCGACAACCATCGCAACACGTAGAGGCAAGTCGTGAGAGCCCTAGCTTTAGCCATGAGCGCACTGCATAGACAAAATTGCGTAATGCCAGACACCCTTATGAGGCTCCAAGTCCCTCCACCACTAACCTCGTGTCTGGTTATGATCGGACGTTTAACACGATTGTAGACACCATTAAAGGGGACACTTCTCTCGCCGATTGGATCATGAATACCCCATGTGTGAAGTTCAAAATGTTACATATTGAGAAATATAAAGGCGAGGGGAATCCAAGGAGCATGCGCATAACTTTTATGATCTGATGCATATGCAGTAGGTGACCGATCCGATCATCTGTACGTAGAGCCTTCCCTGTCACATTGATGGGAAGCACTAAGATATGGTGGAACTTATTGGACAAAAAGTTCATCCATGGCTTTGAGTAACTCAGTAAAAATTTGTATATCATTTTTTGGCCGACCCTAAGCAGAAGAAACCCTCTCACCTCTTGTTGCAAATGATATAGAATCCCGGGGAGAGTCTCAGAGATTATCTCAAGAGATACCAAACTAAAAGGTTGGAAGTTGAAGACTCTAGCAACATGGTCACCATGGATACAATCTCTGTGGGGCTAGAAGATAAGTTACCCGACTCGCTCATCATAGACCCTATCACTAAACTATGAATAGCTAATGACCAGAGCTTAAGGACACATGGATGCATAAGTTGCCCAAGCCCACAAAAAGTCGGGCAGAGAAGTAGCAGCAACAGCAGAAGCAGAGCTCTACCAAAGAGGGAAAAAGGAGAAGGATCCCCCAAAACCGACTCCAAGTCAAAGAGTGCCGACAAGAGAGATCAGAGAAAAGAGGTGGCCATGAAGCATGCCCTCACTTCTCAATAGATAAGATTGAGAACTTTCCGAAATGCTACTATAATAGCGATTCTAGTAACCGAGTCAAAATTTATGGGTCATGCAATTTTCAGGATCGGTGTATATTTCAAACATGTTGCTAACTGTTTTGATGTTATTTAACTAAAATATTCATATCTTGAGCTATACATCTCCGAATTGAGTTACATTTGTTCATGTGGATTCGTGACAACGAGACGGTTACTCCCATACGCTCAAAATTGATTTTTTTACTCTTTATATATTTTTCAAAATCAGTTGTGATTAACTTATCGTCTTGCTCTCTATACTTAGGAACTTGATTCTAGCTTTTTGTATTATGTATAAGATATATATCTCAAACATATATTAGACCAATATAAAAATTCGTTATTTATCAAACTAAGTCGATTGCATGGACACAGTCCTAACATTAGCCGTTTTAATTAGTACCATGACCATTGAGATTCCTTTTAGATTCCCAAATTCTTTTAAATTGTTTTAAAATTAGTCCTTCAAATCATTGAAACTGCATCTACTAAACGCTTCAATTTATATAAGCAATCTCGAAGTAATCTCTCTAGACAAGTAGTAAGTCAAGAGGAGCAATAGCGAAGATATAAGAATTGAGAGACAATTTCGAAACCTTAAAGATTTAAGGGCTAATATTGAAAGGGGAAAAAACTTTACTGTAAAACGTATTTCGATGTGATCATCGGCCACTTGCGAAGAAATATATAAAACTAAAAAATTATTTAATGCTGCCACCTTTTTCTTGAAAGGTCATTACTATTGGTAAAAACGGAGATGTAACAAGATTGCTTTAATGCATTGCGATTATTTAATGCTGCCACCTTTTTCTTTTTCTTTTTCTTTTTTAAGATCACTGTTGTCAAGTGCGAGTCATCCGATTCCACTCGTAATGCTGCCACCTTTTTCTTTTTCTTTTTCTTTTTCTTTTTCTTTTTCTTTTTCTTTTTCTTTTTCTTTTCCTTCCTCGATCTCTCGTCATGCTTTTTCACAAATGCTAGCCTTTCGCGGTTGTGATCCTTTGAATGGTACGTATACCTTTATTCGTAAAGTTTTTTTTCTAAAGGATAATTCACAGAAATCAATCCAAACAGCTTTAGACCTCTCGGATATTGCTAAGAGTATTAACCATCGTGAGTGCAGAAGCAACCGCGTTAATGTGAACGTAAGCTCTCCCATTGATTTATGAGCATCTTCCAAAGGAAATTTCTCAAAACATGCATGATATGTATCGTACGACGCAGAGCACAAATCATCATCTCACCAAGCCTTTTACCATGTAACTAACTATACAACGCAATAAACCTTCACACATAAACGGACTCTGAACCTCCATCCGAACCATGCATCGGCTTCTCCGTCTAGAAACAACCTCTACACATGACCAAATTAACTAATTGAAGTAGAAAGAAAAATCTATATGTAGATAGTAGCTCTTATACGCTAATTAAATAGGTGATACGTTTTCCTTCTGAGGAGGCGATCGACCGAATATGGATTAGGAAAGGTGAGGCCCGCCGGCACGGAGGGCGCGGAAGTAACCCAGAGGGTTAGCCTCAAA